GTAATTATCATACAAAAACCTTCAATGATACATAAAAGTGGTGTATGTGAACTAAGGAAGTAATTATGAAACATGTTAGTGATAAGGTTAGTTCAGTTGTTGTTATCTATATCACTGTAATTCTGTTAGTATAGCTGTCTATCTTAGCTGTATAGTTATCTATAGAGTGTGAAATATTGTATATAAAGACCTTTTCTATTAATGAGAAATCAAGTCTTCTCCTAATCGTTTATGGTATCAGAGCCATATTAGGTTTAACAACCATGAGTACATATGGATATCAGGAGCCATATTAGGTTTAACAACCATGAGTACATCAGTATCGAAGAAAGTTCTACCACTCCTTCTGCTTTTCGACAACCCCTTGCTACTATGTATTCTTCTTTCCTCTACCGTTCTGTTCTTGCCCTTTTTCATTGTTCCTAACGTAAAGTGATTAACTTACGTGTAAATTGACCTCACAGTCAATTATATTCTTTGGAAACCCCTACTTTTGGCCCGATTTTTTTGAGGGGTTACAATCTTGGAAACATATTTCATGTCAACTTTCGTCTCCCTGAATCCGGCGATTTACTACTTGGTATCTAGAGGATTCAGATCGTTTCTGGCTGAGATAAATTCATCCCGTTAACTAAAACCGCTGCTAGAATAACTGTTGTTGGAGTTAAATCTGCCCTCGAAGCTTGGAAAGAACCTGAGGCGTGCGTTGCAGCTGATCCAGGACACAATTCGCACTTAAAAGTGCTATTCATCACCTTCGAACAATAGAGTTCGGCACTTAAAAAGTGCTATTCATCACCTCGAACGAAATAACGAGTCTATTGAAACCTATTTGCAACGTGCCAAATCTTTGTTTAATCAATTGCATGCACTTCAAAGCTCGATCTCAGAAGATGACTTTATTGGCACTATTCTTGACGGCCTTGGACCTGATTATCATCCATTCACTAGATCTATCGAGGTGCGATTACAACCAATCACATATGAAGATCTTCGTGGTTTGTTGCTGGCAGAGGAACAGCAACTTAAGAAACATGAGGCTGCTACTATTGTCACCGTACCTGCCACTGCACTTTACAGTAATTGTGAAACTACTACTTGACAAAATAATAATTCTTCTAGAGGTAGAGGAGGTCGAAGTCAGACACAGCGTGGTGGACGTTCTTATAATGGTTCTAATAGAAATTCAAGGACTTCGAGTTCAGGGGATCCTGTTGTTTGCTACAATTGCAATGGTACTGGGCACATGTCTCGCCAGTGTCCAAGCCCACGAAATTCGCCACAGGTTCATCACACCTCTCCTTATTCCTCACAAACTCAACCCTGGATTGTTGATTTTGGGGCAACATATCATCTTATTGGATTAATGAATAATCTCTCTCTTGAAGCTGACTATCATGGACCGGATGAGGTTACTGTAACCAATGGTAATACAATTCCCATATCTCATATTGGTAGCACTGTGTTATGTGACAACTCTAAATTTTGATTAAATAATGTTCTTTATTCTTTGCAATCACCCTTTAGCTTACTGTCTGTGAATACTTTTTCTCGTGATAATTGGGTCTCACTTGAGTTCTTTCCTGACTTCTTTCTTGTTAAGGATATCCGCACGAGGAGAGTGCTTCACAAAAGTTCGGTTGATCGTGGTCTCTACAAAATCTTTCCGTCACCTCACCCTCCTGTTTTAGTTAATCATGTTTCTTTTTCTTGTTGGCATTCTCGACTGGGACATGCCCACGATCGAGCAGTTGGCATTCTCGACTGGGACATGCCCACGATCGAGCAATTATTTCTACATTAAAGTTGAATAATGTTTCATTTGATTCTCATAAAAATTCTTTATGTTCAGCTTGTTGTGTTTCCAAGTCACACAGATTGCCATATTCCTTATCTAATTTTACTACTTCTGCTCCTTTAGAGCTCATATGTTCTGATGTTTGGGGTCCTTCCCATGTTATCTCTGCCAATGGTAACAGGTATTATGTCTTATTTTATGACCACTATAGCAAATACTCGTGGCTTTATTGCTTGAAAAATAAATCTGATGTATTTCAAACTTTTGTGAAATTTTGGGCGTTTGTTGAACAATTCTTTGATAAGAAAATTAATATGTTTCAATGTGATTGGGGCGGGGAATTTAGGTCGTTAGCTCCTTTTCTTCGTGAGAATGGTATTTCCTTGCGGTTGTCTTGTCCTCACACACCACAGCAAAATGGGTGTGCTGAGAGAAAGCATAAGCATATTGTTGAAACCGCTTTAGCGTTATTAAATCATGCTTCTGTACCAGCATAAGCATATTGTTGAAACCGCTTTAGCGTTATTAAATCATGCTTCTGTACCATTGAAATATTGGGACTTTGCTTTTGAAACTGTTGTGTATGCGATTAATAGAGTTGTCACATCTTTGTTACCAAATTGCTCACCATTTGAGAAGTTGTTTCAGAAAAAGTCGAATATATATGAACTCAGAACTTTTGGCTGCATTTGTCATCCACTAACAAGACCTTATAATAAGAACAAGCTTGAGAACAGGTGAATTAAATGTTTGTTTGTTGGATACAGCACTATTCACAAAGGATACAAATGCTTGGATGTCTCCTCACACAGGCTGTACATTTCACGTGATGTAGTGTTTGATGAGAAACAATTTTATTTTTCCCAAGTGCAGGTGCCAACAACTACAATTTCTCATCAACAATCTGTTCCACCTGCAAACTCAGGTCCTGGAATACTTGGCCCTCTGCCACCACCGCTAGATAACACAGCTAGAATTTTCCCACCTGTTGTGATTTTAGCTATACAGCGAAGTCATGAAACAGGTACTGGTTCTGTTTCTGAACCAGTAAATGACAATATGGGGTTGGTTGATGTTTCTGATTCCACTCGGCAACCTGAAATTGAGCATTCAGCAGCTCCACTTATTGTTATTTCGCAACCAGAATCTGGAAGTGATGATTCTCCATTATTAGCTGCTCCTTTGCAACCGTCAGCGATAACTAATGTACACCCTATGCTGACTCAGTCTAAGACAGGTCATTCAAGACCAAGAGTCTTAGCAGCTGTGGTACCTCGTCAGCCACACAGTGCTATAGAAGCAAAGAAGTATCGAGAATGGCGAGAAGCCATGGATTATGAGCTTAATTCTTTATTACAACTTGGGACTTGGGAATTAACAGTGCCACCACCAAATGCCAACATAGTGGGTTGCAAGTGGGTATTTCGGGTAAAAGAGAATGCCGATGGATCTATTGCACGTTACAAAGCGCGGTTAGTTGCTAAGGGGTTTCATCAACGCCCCGGTGTGGATTATGAAGAAACTTTCTCTCCTGTGGTCAAACCCACAACGATTAGACTGGTACTAAGGATTGCTGTCTCTAATAAGTGGAAAGTTACGCAATATGATGTGTCGAATGCTTTTCTTCATGGAAAGCTTGATGAAACTGTTTACATGGTGCAGCCTCGTGGTTTTGTTGATACAACTAAACCATCTCATGTGTGCAGATTGCATCGTTCTTTATATGGATTGAAATAGGCCCCGCGCCAATGGAATCAATGCTTAAGAGAAGTTTTGCTTAGTTGTGGTTTTACTCAGTCTAAGTTGGATCATTCATTATTTGTTCTTCGGCAAGGAGCTTCAATATTGTATTGTTTAATATATGTGGATGACCTTCTTTTCATAAATGTATTGGTTAATATATGTGGATGACCTTCTTTTAACAGGAAGATGATGTGAAAGCTGTGCTGCTGTTGGGTCGGTTGTTTCCATGTTGAAAGCTGTTCTACAAGGTATTGCTCAAGAACTTGGGCACTTTACATTATTTTTTGGGAGTACAAGCAACCTGGAGTAATGACAGCTTGTTTTTATTTCAAACAAAGTATATAGCTGATTTACTTAAAAGAGTTAACATGCATGAAGCAAAGGTTGTTGCTACACTTGCTTCGGTTTCAAACTCTAAAATGGCAGCCACAACCACAGTTTTCCAAGATCCTCAATTATACCGAAGCACAATTGGTAGTCTCCAATATTTGTCATTTACTCGACCAGAAATTGGTTTTTCAGTAAACCGCTTGGCTCAATTCATGCATTCTCCAACTGAATTTCAATGGCAGGAAGTTAAACGACTGAATTTCAATGGCAGGAAGTTAAACGTATACTGCGGTATTTGAGGGGACTTCTCACTATGGCTTAGTCATTAAATCATCTGCTGTCACTCAATTGACTGCCTATAGTGATGCAGATTGGGCTGGGTCCATTGAAGATAGGAAATCCACTATTGGTTATGCAATTTATCTTGGTCGGAATTTGATTTCTTGGAGCTCTCGCAAATAAAAGAGTGTCTCTCGGTCTTCAACGGAAGCGGAGTATAGAGTAATTGCAAACACAACATCTGAGCTTCTATGGGTTCGAAATTTGTTGCAAGAACTTGGGATTAATGTTGGCGCACCTGTGCTTTGGTGTGATAATTTAGGAGCAACCTCCTTGACCGTTAATCCCCTTCAACATAGTCGCATGTAGCATGTACAAATAGATGTCCACTTTGTTCCACTTTGTTCAGGATAAAGTTGCAAGCAAGGAGTTACAGGCTCGTTATTTATCTTCCAATGATCAAATTGCAGATATATTAACGAAACTGTTGACTAAGAATAGGTTTATATTGTTGAGAGACAAGTTGACTATCGCCCCACACCGATAGTACAACTTGAGGGGGCATGTTAGTGATAAGGTTAGTTCAGTTGTTGTTATCTATATCACTGTAATTCTGTTACTATAGTTGTCTATCTTAGCTGTATAGTTATTCTTAGCTGTATAGTTATCTACAGAATGTGAAATACTGTATATAAAGACCTTTTCTATTAATGAGAAATCAAGTCTTCTCCTAATCGTTTAAAACAATTTACAGTTTTGATATTGAATATTTGAGATTATAAACAGCCAATAAAGCTGAATACCATGGAAGACATTGAGGCTTTCAAATTTGTAAATTCATAAAGCACAATAGGAAAGAAGAGGGAATGAGCTAACCCCGTTTACTTTTTAGCATTTATTTACTGCATTTGTAGACAACAATAATTGATGCCCTTTATTTAAGCTATTCTTATAGCAAGCTAGATATGTGGTACAAGCCATTTCAGATTTTAGTTAGGTAGTAATGTCTTCAGTCTCGCCGGAATTGGCTTGGTTGAGCAAGAGTCCCATATCGTCTTTCACTTGTTGGACACGGTACACATTGTACACATTATAATCTGGAGCTTGCAATTGAACTGGTTTTGTAAATTCATCTGCTACAGATTTTTGAATTGCTTCAGAAAGGTCCTGCCATTTGTTCTCACGGCTGATTATGTCGCCCTTTGGCAGAAAGCGGTCGCTAATATGTTTCACCACTTCATTCTCAATATATTTGTATCGTGTCGCTTCTGAAACCATTTGAATAATACAAACAAGAGGCTTAGCAATATCTTTTGGCAATGTCGATTCGTAGAGTGTATAAATGAAAGAGTCTAATTGCCCAACCCCTAAATAAACTGTCTCTCTATCACCTCCTTGGGTTTTCAAGGATTCATAGTTACCACTGATTTTAAGTGGGTTTTGTTTTGTATCTTTGAAAAGATAGTCGGTTGCGTCCTTGAATTTTGGATCGTTGAAGAAATAGGAATTTTGATTTTCTAATTTGTAAGCAACCACATAAAGGTCCAGCACATTTAAACCTATTGTTACTTTCTTGTTCCCTGAATTTATAAGTTCCACTGTAGTATACTTTTGATTTTTAGAAACTGAGACAGGTAATACTGGAATTCCATGACTTGGAGTACCAGTACCTAATTTACTTCGTATATCTTCCATGAATTGTAAATAGTCAGCTTTATCTGTTTCGCCATACCGAGTAATGGTAAAGCTGGCTATGGCGACAGAATTACCATTTGTTTGTAACGGGTAAACTCTAGCCAATCCAAACACCACAGTCCAGCAAAACCATGTTACTAGCGCAATCAACACCTTGTTCATATTGCCTTTCATATTTTCTACCTGCCAAAAATGATTAAACCATATTTAAAATGAATTAAACCAATAAATGTAATAAAAAAAATCAAGAAAGAAAAGGCCTCGTGTGATTCATCAAGATGGATTGCATTTCTAGCAGGGAAAACTTGGGGAATATAAATAGTCATAAAATTAAAACTAATCTATTTTGAGGAGGGCAGAATATAAGAATGAAACAATATTTAATAAAATTGAATTAGAAATTTCAAAGGAAAAAAACTTGCCAGGGGCTAGACCCTCCCACATAAAGCTTGCTTCTGTGTTCTAGACTAAGTTCATTTGTGCAGTCAAGGGTTTAAACCTAAAATCCATATTCAAATGATTTTACTCGAATACAATTGTCTAATATCACCTCTCACATGTGCCAAAAAAAAAAAAAAAAAAAAAAAAACATGTGCCCAAAAAAAAAAAAAAAAAAAGAAAAGAGAAAACACCCGACAACAACGTAATACAGCAGAAGAAATCCTTTATCATTCTTTACTTTTCTTTTCTTTTAAGAATTTAACATTTTCAGTACAAAAAAAAAAAAAAAAAAAAAAAAAAAAAAAAAAAAAAAAAAAAAAAAAAAAAAAAAAAAAAAAAAAAAAAAAAATTTCAGAACTTGAAGTCTAGAACCAGCCAACTCAGTTGGACAGTTTCAAATTCTGAATCAATAAGCTACAAATAATTATAAATTTAATTTATCAAAAGAATTTGAGAAAAGCTTCATTACTTACAAAGCAAGTGGGGAAGCAAATAGGAAGAGATGGTTTTAATTCTAGTGTTGGATTCATCAGCTTTTATATTGGGGAACGGGTCCCCCGGTTCTCATTTCTCTTATTCTTTTTTTTTTCCTTAATTGCTTTGTTTCTTTCTTTTTTAATCCTAGAAGATATTTGTTCACGGTGATTAAATTACAAATTAAAACAAGAATGTTGGTTGTTGGAATTCCGGGGCAGATGATCATTTTTGTTTTCAAATTTCTTTTTCTTTTTAAATTTATTAAGCTTGAGATTAGTATTTTTTTATTTATTTAACAATAAAGTGATGTATTGTGTCTCTTTAGTCATATTAATTATTAGTTTATTGATGCAATGGTTTAAATTAGAAATGTCCGATAAAAATAACTGTTTAATATAAAATAAAAAAAAAAGAATTAGTTATTTAATTAGATAAACGCTTAACGTTTCATAAAAAAAACTACCTCAATTTCTAAAAACTATTATAAAAACTATATTATAGAACATGCAATTATATATAGAGTTTTAACTTTATCAAAATATCAAAAGCTAGCTCAAGTCTTCTTGCAAATTGGGGCATCATCTTAGGTTCTGTTTATTTCTAGAAAAGAACTTACCTTTGAAAAATATATTTTGAGGAATTAAATTTTAACTAAAAATCTTTTGCGAACGGGGCCATAGAGACTAATTTTTTCTTGTTGATCAAAGATAAATCATTGGGTACAAAGCGTTTTCTTCTCAAGTGAGGCGGTTGTTGCTGCAGATAGACAAGGCATTTAATGGCCTCGTTTAGTCCCTTCTGATGCTTGATGTTTTGCATTTCATTTATTTAGTTTTGCATATTTATCATAAATACATTCATTTGATTAAATTTTTTTACTAAATTTGTATGGAGTATTGTGAGCAGCCTTTTCCCGCCTCAGAATTTTTTTTTTTTTTTAGAATTTTTTTTCTAAGCTCTTTTTCCTTACAATTTTGTCTGTAGTCTCTTTGATATTTTTTTTTCCAAGTATCAAACATTTTCTAGCCTTTTTAGTATAAAATCATTTTTAATTCCTCCACTTTCTTGTAAAATATATAGATTTTATCTATGAAAAATAAAAAATTTATCCCAGCCCCGCGGAATCTTCCATCATGATTCCGTGCCTTGTGAAGGTCACTGCGCACTAAGCAACCCTTTTTTTTTCTTTCATTCTAAAATCTCATCACTTCCATAGATTTCTTCTTTTGCTATCCATCTTTTATCAGAGAACATATCATTCTTCACAGGAACTATGCCATTTGCTTCCCTTAAATGCGATTAAAGCAAACCATATATTTATAAACCTGCACTAAATGTTATAACAATTGGGCCAAGATGACACGGATCACTGAAATTAGGGTTTAGCTATTATTATAAGTCAGTGGAGGACATTCAGATTAAGCTATTAGGACAGGCACTGGAATGTGATAAACATGCTAGAGTAATTGCCGATTGCAATTAACTAGTAAAAGTCATATTTTGCATTATGATATTTTTTTTTTTTTTTTGGGGTCAAAAAAGCGCTCGTTCAGATGCTGTAGGGAGATAAAGAAGTTAGAATGTTTTTCAACTGTTTTAAAATTTCCATGCTTATTATCCAAATGGAAAATTTTTGTTCACGTTAGAATTGACTATAAGTTTTAGAAGTAATTTTTAGCTTTTTCACCGTATTATATATTTATTATTAATTTATACTGTTCTACTGCAAATATTATATTAATATTTAAAAGTTGTGAGAATAAGTAACGAAACATTTAGCTACTATCTAATAAAACAATTATAACTAGTACGAAAAATAATTATTTCATTCTGAAATTTTATAAAATTAATTATTCCGTCCGCGTATTTTTATATATTAGGTATTTAATCATCGAATTTTAGTTCCGTCTTATTAAATGGTCTTTCTATCTAATTTTTATGATTTTTGCCGTTAAATGCCCGGTGAAAGATTAAAATACCTTTACCATTATCCTTCTTCTCCTTCTGCGTCTCTCCAGATTTCCATTACTGTAACTACACAAATTCAAAAAGAAAAAAAAAAAACAAATACATTTAAAAAATCATTATGAAAAATTCAATATCAAAAGTATCAAACAGAAAGACTCCATTTTGGTAAATTAAATCCAACCAACCATCGGTATCCATAAGTTTCAAGAACTGTAACCACAATCTGTTGAGAATCTGGGCTCTGGCCCTAGGAGCAAATTAATTAAATTTAATTTAATTATATATTTAATATTGTGTTTATAATGAGTTGGACTTACCTTTAATACAAAATGGCCCGAGCCTTTTTTGCTAGTTCATCCTTCACATTATATGCTCTTTTTAGTTAGTTGTAGTTATTTGGTGTGAGATTACCCATATACTCCAACACAATCCACCACAACAATCCAAAACCAAAAAAAGAAACGACCTCTGTACAACCGATCAAATACACCTTCGTACAACCCCATAAAAAAGAAACGACCTCTGTACAACCGATCAAATACACCTTCGTACAACCCCATCAAAATTTTTCAGACACTTGTTGCAAATACAATTTTTTTATCATAGAAAAGAGAATAGGCATAAAAAACATTATAAAAAATAAACTCAATATATAGTACAGGCTCTACTAACAAATAATTTCTGAACTTAGTTATTAGTAAATTGTTAGATATACTAAATAAGGCAAGGGTTTGCAAATGATTCAATGAAGATTTATTCTTACCATTTCCTTTTTTAAGGTTGTTATAGATCTGGTAAGAAGAGTTTCGGGATGGACCAAACGTTGTCAGATCTGTTAATTTCTTCAACAGAAATGGACTAGGAAAGAAGAAGATCTGAGGACCAAAAATGGCTACCGCTCTATTCACTCTCTAGATTTTCTCAGTCGGCGCTAGAAATGTGTAAGGATGAAGGAGAAACAACAAAGGAAAAAAAAATAATAAAAAAAAGACTTGATAAGAAACAGTTTCAAAGAGAAGTGCAGATTTCGATTTGAGAAGAGAGTACGTTAAGATGGTGAGAAAGAGACAAAGTCAGTGAAAAGGGACACTTGAGTGTTTGAACTTGCAATTTTTTCAATTTTGGTGTCTCCTGCTGACATGGACTACTGGAAAATCAAATGGCACTTAATGGGACACATAAACGCCTACTGTTTAGATACCGTTAGCCAAGTCAGCACGTAGATATAATCTTGACTCAAATCCATGCTGTTAATATTTTATTGTTTCTGCAATTTGTTATATTCCTTGATCTTTGTTATTTAGTTTGATTTTCTTTGATTTGATTAGGTTTGTAATTCCTAATTTGTAGCTGATTCATCTCCTGTAAATGGCTATTTAAAAGCCACAGTCTTCAGTTGCAAATATATAAAAAAACACTTTCATAATTTTGATTCCTCTTATTTTCAGTTTATACATGGTATCAGAGCAAAACCATGGCTGAATTAACAAACCAATTTTCTTCTCATCATACTAATGCCCAGCACTCCTTTTCTGTCAAACTAAAATCATCAAACTATCTAGCCTGGAAAACTCAATTCCAACCCCTCCTCCACTATCACAATCTTAATCATCTCATTGATGCTCAATTCCAACCCCTCCTCCACTATCACAATCTTAATCATCTCATTGATGGCTCCCTCCCACCCCCAAAAACAATTAAATCCCCATCTAATCCAGCTATTGATATTCCAAATCCGGAATACACAGCTTGGTTCAAAGAAGACCAGCTTTTACGCTCTTGGCTTCACCCGTCTCTCTCTATAGAAGTCTTTCCATATATTGATGGGCTAAATTCCTCTCAAGAATTCTGGCAAGCTTTAACTCAATCTTTCGGTTCTATCTCTCAAAACCAACAACTTCAAATTCACATTGAACTTCAAGAGCTCAAGAAAAATGATTTGTCAATCTCTGCTTATCTCCAACATGCAAAGGCACTCAAAGATGAATTATGACAGTGATTTTCGCAAGTGTACGAAATCACTACAAGTAATATATGATGAGTAGAATATCGTTCCCACGAGGATTGTATAATGAGTAGAATATCGTTCCCACGAGGATTGTATACCAAGTACCAAAATTATATTAACTTATTATTATTTAAACGATAATTGAGGAAATTGTTTCAAGAATATAAAGTAAAACTAAGAAGGAGTCAAGCAAGCAAAAATTGATTAAAGAAAGCAAGGATTAAAAACTATTAGGGATTTTGATTTCACTTAATTCTATCCAATTTATTTTATTAGTGTATTAATCAATTTTAATTATTTAAGTAGGGGAAACAACTCTAAAATCACTAACAAGCTCTCTCGATGTATTGTTAGTTAGTTTAATTCCTTTTAACTACCTATCTTCCAATAGCACAATTAAACATGAATTAAAGTTTATTATGAATCATAAAATTTTAAAATTTGTTAATTTATAAAACCCCATGATAAACCATATAGCTTCTGGCAATCAAATTATATTCTATGTGGCACTCATTAAAACTTTCACATATCAAAAAATCCTTTCTTCCGTAGTGTCATAAAATAATCAATTACAGGGAAAAACTCTGCCCTGAAAGCAATAAAAGTTATCAATAAAAAATCATAACTTGAATAAAAGAAAAAACCAAAAATTCGAATATTTATAAATGGAAAAAAAAGCAACATCAAAATCCCTAGTATGAGAGTTTATAGAGCATAGTACTTAAATAAAAACCCAATAATACTTGATAAATATTTTATAATCAATCAAAGAATTAATGAAAGAAATAAAACAAGATTAAGAGTTTAGAAATAAGAAATATAACAATTGGCTCCGGATTGAGTTCCTTGAATCTGTACAACTCTGAATTTACTTGAACTCTTGAAAAATTAACTATATACAAGACTAAGAGAATGAGAAAGATTAAGAGTTTAGAAATAAGAAATAGTTAACAATTGGCTCCGGATGAGTTTCTTGAATCTTTGTACAACTCTTGAAATACTTGAACTCTTGAAGAAATGAAACTATATACAAGACTAAGAGA